AAAGCGCTGCAACACCTTGGGCATCGCGGAGGCAGCGCCAGGAATCCTTCCCGCAGCACTGGAACTCCTCAACCGCCATTGATGGGAGACGGGTCGTCACCTCGCCTTCGAGCGCCAAGGCATCGTAGGACTGGACATTAAAAGCCATCAGACGGGACCCCCTGCACCCTTCCCAATCCTCGTCCAAGGCAACGAGGTGCAGGACCAAGGTTGCGAGGCCGCACGTGGCCTGCCCTTGCCGAGTAACATCCGTGTCCCCTCAGGCGGGCCTTTTGCTTGGTACTCGAACCAGGGGCACATGGTCACATCCCCAATTCGCGAGCACGTCCGTAACAAGCTCAGGCAGGAAAGTGCGGCAGACTGGAGTCAGTGTGCAGTGCAGGGCCTGTTACCCAGGCTAAGCACTGAAGCTTTCCGGCCTGGCCTGGACCCATCTCTCTACGTCTTCCCGGTAAACTGGCTCCGCTGGGCGTTGCCCACTGACCACAAGCCGCACGATCTGTCTGCCATGGCATTCCGCTGTCAGCGTGCCATTGGTGGGAGCTGGACTGAACGCATCCATGCTCACGAGGACGTGGCCGTGGCCCTGCAATGGAGCCAACACGCACAGTGGCCCTCCGCCCGCGCATGCCCTCTCTGTCGGTCCGGGCCGGGCACACCGCGCCACGTCGTCATGGCATGTGAAGCCCTGAGCCCCCTGGTGGACATGCTGCGGGATGACTTAGAAGTCGAACTCCAACAAGTTCGGCCACTCGACACCCTTGTTGCTGCCGCGCAGCAGTGGCGCGCGCGGGTCGAGCCTTCTCTGGTTCCCCCTGTTAGTCCCGCCGCTGCTACCCGCTGGCCGGTGCTCTCCGCATGGCGTTGGCTCATCCCTCTGCCCAATCGAGAACCCCTCCTCTCCACCGACGTGCAAGGCACCAGCGCCATCCCCACAGCACATGAACGTGGGTGGGATCTTGCTAAATCCCTGGGCACCTCTCTATGCTCCCTCTCCACACACGACCTTGACGCCCTGGTGCAGTCCGAGTGTGAGTTGTATGCCAGCCTGCGCCAGCCTGGGGCTATGCAAGCAGAGCTGCAGCAGTTCTCCAAGCGGCGCACCGTTGCCCTCCCTGCAATCCGGGTTGTCAGGTGCCTTCTCCTGGGCCTGAGGCGCATTCGGTTCGAGTTTCAGACCAGGCTCACCGCGTGGCTTTCACTCTGTCGTGAAGCCCTTCCCACTCCGCCGCCTGAGGAGGCAGCAATGCAAGCAGGGGCGCCTCCGCGCGACGCTGCAGGCTTGGTTCATTACAGGCAGTGGCCTGCGCTCCGTGCAAGAGCTGCGCTGGGCCCTTCTCGCCCCCCGTGCTGTTGTGGCAAGACTGCAATCTTCGTATCCCCGCAGCCGGCTCAGCGCGGACAGTTTTCTCACCAAGCTGTTCGAAAATGGTGGTGCTGTCCTGCAGGACTCGGCCCCGTACTGGGGCCCCTACATGGCAAGCTGCCACTTTGAGCCTCTCCTCGCGCTGCCGGTGCCCGCCTGCAGGCAACACCCGCAATGCTGCTGGAATCTCGGTGCCCATGCAACGTACGGCTGCCCAGACGCCGGGGCCACTCTGTGCCCGCACTGCTGGGCTGCTTGGGCGAGGTGCCTGGCAGCCTGCCCTAGGCACCGTAGTGCCCCAGTGCACGAGCTGCCAGCGCTCTAGTCCAACCTGCTCCTGGTTCGGCCGCATCCCTGCCGCCCAACCTTCGCCTCAAGCATGTCCGCCGCTGGGCTCTCGCCTTCATCCGCCGTCGGAACGGTGCATCCGTGCCATTGCTCCAAGCCGAGCTCAGCCGTGAGGAGCCTGCGGCCCGCCTGCTTCTCTTGGCCGCGCGGGCCTTGTGTGCAGAAGGGCTAGCCCGACTGGAAGAGGACTTCCTACACCCGCTGCCTGTGTGAGAACAAAATGATGTGCTTGTTATTCTTCTCATGGCCTCCGGCCAAGTGCCCCGTTCCCGCCTTGTTCGGGACTCTATTGTTTGGGGGAGGAAGCCCTCTTCTGGCCCAGACCCCACTTCTTGGGCTGAGAACCCCGTTCTGGGCCTTTTCAGCTCCTTTCCCCCAAAATCTGTCCCAAAGCCTCCTCTGGGCCCCATTGCCGGACTTTATGCCCTTCGGGCTCCGCGCTCCCTAATAACCTAGTAAAAACCCCCTCTGGAACCCTCCGCGGAGGGGGCCGATGACGTTTGCGGAGGCCCCCCGAGATGTGGTGGGGGAAGAGTGTGGGAGGCCGCAGCCGTATGCTGCAGGTCGACTCCTTCCTTCCTTCCTTCCTTGTTATAGTTCGGGCATGGATGCTCTGGTCACCAGCTGCCCTCTGGGGCACGAACCTTATTATGGTTTGAGCATGGGTGCTGTGGTCACCGTATGCTCTTGGAACACGAACGTTATTATGGTTGGGTCATGGGTGCTCTGGTCACCGTTTGCTCTTGGAACACGAACGTTAGTTATTCTTGTTTGGGCATAGGTGCTCTAGAAAGGATGGGCGATGCGGAAGCCAGTCATCTTCAACAAAGACAAGCTGTCATAATCCTGGAGCATGACAGCGCAAATAGAAGGAATGAATGAACAAGCAGAAACCCTCCAATGGGGGTACGGTTTACACAGCCCTTGGCTACTACTAGTAGTAGTAGCAGTAGTAGTAGTAGTAGTAGTAGTAGAAGCAGTAGTAGTAGTAGTCGTGGTAGTAGTAGTAGTAGTAGTCGTGGTAGTAGTAGTAGTAGTAGTAGTAGTAGTACTACTACTACTACTACTACTCCGAATACTACTGCTTACTAGAACAAGAAGCAGGGGTGGCAACAGGAGCAACACCACGAACGCAGCCGCTGCATCCTTGCCACTGCTGATGTTGCCATTGCCAACAAATATTCGGTTGAATCCGGCACAGTACTGCGATTTTACTGCATGTGTCCCAGAGATGTCAAACGGGGTGGGGCCAGGAGCAGGGCAAGTGGACAGAGAAGCTCGCCCACCGCATGTCGCAGCTGCAGCAGGCCATCTGCAACCTTAGGTCACAACCCAGCTCGAATCTGCAAGTTTGTCGTTTTGATCTTGGTTTCACGTAATCAGTGCTAGTAGCCACTAGCATCCTGACAATCAATTTGGTTGCAACCGTTGTTGCCATTGCCGTTGCTACATATACAGGATTCGTATGCAAACCATAAGTAAGCCATGCGAGAAGATGCAGATTTTATTTTCATTTCTAGTGCTTCCGATTGTGGTTGGCGGGGGATATTAGTGTCTTGCGGCATTGCTACAGCTCAGAGGAAGAGCGGACACTGCCATGGGAGCTTCGTGGTCATGAGTTTAATCAGCAGACTGCAAAAACAAGCAAACGTTAGTTGGAGATGCGGAGGCTCGGCAGCAGCGCCGAGCGATTGGCGCCAGAATTGCGCAGTTCGGTCTGGCATCTTAGCCCGGTCTCTCGCACTAAGTGTGATCTATGGCGGAGGCTGTGGGAAGCGTCTCTTTTTCACTTCCGTTCGCAAAGGATACCAGCAGACTTGCATTTGTTGCTGCTACCACTGTTGTTATTCATGTTGTTCAACTCCCAGGCAACGAGCTCCACACCTTGGACCTGAGGCTGAGAAGCTTTGGTTTGCGCACCGTTGACGCCCAACATTTTTTTGCCCTTTTGAAAATGTCTGGCCATGGTGGCCCTCAGTCTCATCTCACGCTGCATGTGCTAGTGCTACCCTCGGCCCCGCAGTTTGCAACCAGGACGGGCGAGTGGGTATCACAGGTTGCCAATGACAGAGGCGCTTGTGGCACAGAGCAGTACATGTGAAGTCCAGAAACATCTTGTTCTCCAAGTCCAGTTGCCACCGCTTTCGCCTTTCAAAAGAATATTTGGATAAACTGCCCGCCCTTTTCAGATCAGTTCAGGGGAAGCTAAATGAAAAAACGCAGTGTTACTGAAAAACACCACTGTGTTGCTTGTGAAGAGAGTTCATACGCCGATATCACTCACAGTTGTGTATCATGATTTAAGGCTGTGCTAGGTTTCCCACATCTCCCTGCAAGAGCCCCTTCCCGGTGAGGCCGCGAGATGCCCAGCATGGAGGAGGTCTGGCACATCGGCGCTATTGCGACGCTTGCGATTTTGACCATGACTTTATTTACAGTTGCTTTCGAAGTGCATTTCTCATTTCTTTGCCAAGGAAATTCCCTGCAGACATCCTTAGGGATGACTGTCAGCACTGGCATCGTGAGGAGCTGGGCGCAGCGAGGGCGGCGGCGGAAGAGGCAGAGAGCCAGGCAGGGCAGGATGCAGGGCTTTAGGGGCGTAGGAAGAGTGTAGGAAGGGTTCTGGGAAGTTGGAGAATATCACTTTTTGAGGTGTGTAGGAGTCGTGAGAATACGCGACGAGCGATTAGCATGACAGACATGCAAGAATCATGAAGGTGGCAAGAGGGAAAGGGTTTTTCCGGCAGTAGTCAAAATGTGGCAATACACCGAAAAACAGCACGGTGAGCATCAACAAAGAACCAACACGTACAATGATCTTGCGAATAGCAACTGTTCCTCATTGCCATTGATGATACTAGCGTTGTCATGACAAGGCCGGAGATGCTCGGTATGTTAGGCTCGCAATGAAGTGCGGACTGGCAGTTTTGGAGTTGTATTCCACAGGTGTGGCGGATTGCAATGCCATTGGGATTTGGTTACTTCTGATTTCTGACGTACACAACTACCAGAGGCGTAGTGCAGCAGTCCTACCACGAAGATCAACTACCGAACCTGCATAAGATAGGATGTTGTGAAAGATGACAAGCTCGTAGGGCTCCTTGCATGTGGCACGTTCCACTTTGAAGGAGCTTGCGCTTTTCTCGTAGAGGTAATGGTGCTCGTCAAGATCTTGTAGAAGTAGCACCACCAGTGACCAACAGATCTAGCTCTCAATCCCAGGTTGTAAAGATCCCAGCATCTTGCTCATCTTCCAGAAGTGCCCAAACTGGGTCGCTTGTGAGGTGTTTATTGCAACGAGGTACTTAACGGAACCTTGCGAAATGGAGCCCCAAACCCTAGACCATACGTGTGTATGTATATATACATGTATGTAGATACTGTAGGCGTACATGGCTATACATGGTGGTGCGTTGTGCATTCCACCCCCCCAACCCCCCACCCCATGTCATCTATCCCCTGGCCCCCAGCAGCACGGGTCAGGGATACGTCTTTCTCGCCAATCTCTGTGGATGATTCCTTATTCTAACGTCTAACGCCGTTTACTACTTGCAAACAATTTCGTTTATATCTATTACGCCAAGACTTAAGACCAACTACAAGCGGAGGGGGAGGAAGGCCAGCCAGCACGCAACCATGTATGTTGCATGCATGCATGCATGCATGCATGCATGTATGTATGTATGTATGTATGTACGTACAGATAAACAAAAAATATGTGTGTATATGTATGTATCTATCCCAATATACGCCAAAACATCTCTTTCGATTCACTTGGACTTTAACCCTTGATAAGTCAGGTTGCCGAGGCGGAGAAGTTGTCGAAGGCTTGGCTGGCCTCTTGCAAGCTTACAGTAGATAGAGGTCAAAGCGGCTTATGAAAGCTTGGGTCCGGTTTCCTTTGGGTTTTGTGTTTTGGGGTGTTAGGGTTGTAGTCGGAGGTCGCCCCCATCACAGTCCCGCAGCTAACTCCTTTGATGACATTCTGCATGCCGCGGATTCACGGAGCACTTCATGCTGCATTGCTGTTTACTGTGATGGCTAATGCTTGTCCGTTTTCCGTTTGTATCTTTGCTTTGTGTCTCAGTATGCTCCTTGCACAATCCCCGAATGCCCATCCGAAAATCCCCCTACAATCCCCACATATGCTGCAGGGTCCCCATATCCCCCAGCGCTTTTAAAGGTCAAAGCCAAGTCTCATCGTACCATTGCTGGGGCTTCCTGCAGGAGCTCCAGGAGTTCCTGACAAGTCCTGAAGTCCTGTCCATCGACTCGGTTCAGCAAGAGGCCCCTGTAACTTGCGTGGGAGCTAGCCTTGGACCTCGTTTCAGGGACTGCCAGGGATGTTATCTAGGGCTTTACAAGATGTCTCTGAAATCTGATGCTTTTTGAAAAACTCTGGTTCATGCCTAGGCCCCGAAGGCTGGCACCTTACCGCTCCATTGGCTAAGGCTAGGATTTTTGAGGCTGGTGAGACTCCATGCTTGAGTTTGAAGACCTTTGAAAGTTCTGTGTCTAGACGGCGGGAACCGTGACAGGTGGACCGGATGTCCTTCAAGGCAGCTTTCAAGGCCTGCTTCAGTAAAGTCTCAGATTGCTTAAGGGCACATGTCTTCTCGTGTTCAATTCCCTCAAATCTTGAGCCATCTATTTTTTATGCAGATACATCATCTGTGACAGATTCAGGATGCCTGGGAACCTTGGGCCTTGGAGGAGCCGTCTGCTCTTGAGAGTGTAGGCTTGGATCTGATGCGCAATCCTCAGCAGCCCCTCATGCGACCATGCTTCCAACTGCAACCGCTGAAAGAGCATTGCCAGGAGCCCAGTGACGAAGCCACAGAGCTGGGACACGAGGACTGGTCAAAGTATGAAAAGAAGACAGGAATTGCATGGAATTCCAATTAGAGCAGTGCTTCCCAAAACAGAAGCTTTGTGTCAAAAGAAAATCCTAAGAATCTGCTTGAGCAAGCACTGTTGGCCAAGCCAGGCAGACCAGCTAAGCCCATCCTCTGCGCAGGCAGGCCGCAGTGATACGGCACCACAGAAAGCAGTCTCGTCTTTGTGCTGGAAATCAAATCACGTATAAGGAGCGCAGTAGGAGCCGAGTCTTTGTGATAGCAGCGTTTCATCGCAACCTCCGTCGTAGTTGTGGTGGTGGTGGTGGTCGTCGTCGTCGTCGTCGTCGTCATCACAGCAACAGCAGCAGCAGCGGCGGCGGCAACGGCAGCAGCATCAGCATCCGTAGCATCCCCAGCACCAGCAGGAGCACTGGCAGTAGTAGCAACAATACTTATCACAGACGAGCCTAAAAAACGTGTAATCTCAGCAGCGACTGTAGTTTGAGACGCATGCAATAACGTAGACTGGACTGATTGTGATGCCAGGGTGCATTGTCTTTTGGCGAGGACGAGGCGTCGAATTGAAGCCTGTGCCACTAACACGGTTCTCCTTTCCTGCTACAAACATAAACCCTTAGAAGAAGATGTGTGATTCATGATCAACCCGTACTGGTTGTCCTTCTATACTTTGCTACCTTTTTAGTTGTCCTGAGTTTTGCTACCTGCTTGCTCAACCTATGTGGAATTCCCTTGCGTAAGCTGCGTGCAGAGGCCGGGTCCCAATCCCCGCAGTCCCCGCAGTCCCCATACGAGGACCGCCCTTGCAGAGACAAAGGGATTGCATGCAGAAAGAGTTGAACGTTTCTTTGAGTTCGAGGCTGCACGTAGTCTGAGCATGGCGTGGCAGATGCAAGGCCATGCTTGTTACAATGGATATGAACTACCAGCATTCAGTGACATGATTAGGTAGAGGTTTGATGCGGAAAGCGATTATCTACACTTCCCAGCTGAACGTTACACCAAGTGACCTTGTAAATGACCACGCGGTTCCAGCTCTCACGCGTGACGCCCTCGATGCTGACAACAGCCTTCCGAAAGTAGGGTATCGAACACCAACGTTTGGGGAACCGTGTGGAGATGCTTGGAACCCTCGGCGGAGGCTAAGAACGGGGGCAGAGCGCCCCGGTCACCGAAGGATCGCCTGTTGCCAACCTGGAACCTAAACCTCCGGATATTGCGGCACTACTCCAGTGATGTTGATGGTAATCTAGGTGATACCAACCTGTCTAGGTATTTCTGGGCGCAAGTGCTACTGTTGGGCAGGACTTTGGGGATCCGTCGCCGGAAAGCACATCGCCTGCTCATGGTCCTGAGGCGGGGCTCAAGACTCATGCCAGTGTAGCTTGAAGGAAGCTGCTCCGGGAGACCGCAGTTAGGGGGACCTGGAATGACCAATGGCGTGAGCCGTAAAGCAAACTGATCACGGACCCAAGCCTGGCGATGAGGAAAACTCTGATGCAGATGAGGCCTGGGTCGCCTGTGTCGCCTCTTGCTCTCTGCAGCGACGGCCGTATGAACGCAAGCATTAGAGATATTCATCAGGCTTGTACCAACGAATTTTGCTGATGCATTTCTGTTAATACGATGTTTTGGTTGTGCACGCTTGCTTTGCATTCCTGCTGTTGCAAGTGTTGCTGATTCATCCGCGCTCATGCGCATGGCTTCTTGACATGTGCCTTTTTTGTTTTTGCCCGGGCCGTAGGCTAATGCTTCAAAACTGTAACATCAGAAGCAACAACGAAAACATGGAAGTGCCCGGCAATGATTAGTATCTATAAGCGGATCCATCCATGTCGTGAGTCTGCTAAGTCCAGATTGACAGGTCTCCCCACTGCGCGGGGACCCATCCAGTCCGCAAGCAGTGCACACCTCGGGCTACAGTGTTCCAACGTAGATGTCCCACATCTGTTGTAACCTTGGGATTTCCGTATTTTCTCCATTGCAGCATCCATTGCAGGATGCTGTAATGTTGTGTCGGCGCTGGAAAGGTGGAGTGTCACACGGAAGCTATAAGGCATCAGAGCTCGACGAATCCTATGCCATTGACCAAGATGCGTTCGAGGAGCATGCCTTTGCCAGTAGATTTGCCCTCTAACGCCTCTAACTGATGTCTTTGATAATTGCGCCCTATTGTGGACGGCTGCTTTTCTTGCTCTCTGTGGCTATGACTCCTGCAGTTTCACGGCGGTAGACCTCACGGGGCAGCGGCGACGACTACCAACATCAGAGCACACCGGCCTGATCAGCAAATACATAACAATCGATGAGCAGTGGTGCGTGGAGAGACTTCGGTCACCTTCACTGCTCTTGCCAAAGAGGTTGACAGGCTGGCAGGGCAAGGGGGGGCTCTAAACAAACCTCTCCAGAAGCCTTCTATGAAGGAGCCGCCTTCGCCTGCCTCTCCTGGTTCTGCCGGAGGACACACTGCAGTGAAGGTTCCGGCTGCAGGATTCCATAATGTTTTTATGGGATTAAGAGGGCTGATGATTGACAATTTCAGATGAGCAGGAGCTTCGAAAGCAATTTCTGAACGACTTGAGCACTTCTGTTTAGACCTGTGCTCAATGAACCAACCATCTTTTGAATTGGTCACATGTTTGTGGTCTTTCCCGTTTTGAGGACCCTCAGACTGAGTTGGTTGAGCCCCTGAGGAGTGAGAGGCTCCGTCGTAGATGCAGGGTCTGTTATCTCCAAACCGGTCAAACCCATGCTTCTAATTGGAAGCTCTCAAATCCGCCCCGAACCAGAAAGCTACAAACCTGAAAAACGTTTCACCGTTAATGTAGAGGATGCCTGGCTGCGAAGCAGCCAAGGGGCTATCTGTACCCAAAGGAATCGCGTGAAGAAAAAATCGGTCAGCGGCCCAGAGATTGTGAAAAAATCTCAACAACCGATTCATTGGCGAAGATAATTTTCATTATTTGATATAGATTTTATCAGTTAAATAATTCTAAAAATGAAAATTCAATATATGACTCTCGATATTTAACAGCCAAAATGAGATTGGGATTTCGAGTACCTTAATAGAAATTATAAAGCTGCGGCTAATTTATTTGCTCGGGCAGGTTTTTTCTATCCGAAATGGCTCTTGCGGACTCCTTAAGGGCGTTCAAATTCTAGAGATTTCCCTAGTTCTCACGAAAATAAGAAGCGTTAAATTATGAGAGCTTCTTCTAGATTTCTTGTAGGCGGAATGGTCAGATAAATAGGAGATATAGTAATAGAAAACTGAAGGTAGGTCGGGCGGTCGATTGAATCGATAATTCTTCTAATTATTTGGGCGATTATTAAAATTATGGTCTCGTTTTGGGATTTCATAATTTGGGTCTCATATAAGGTTTCATATTATAATAGGGAGCAAGATAAGGACTATAATTTTGATAATTCTTCATTTAGTATTTGATTTTTTAGTAATTACTATTATATATTCACTCTAGAATCGATTTTATATGGAGAAATTATTTTGGGTATTACTTTGGAAATTCTAAGGATTTGAGGTCTCAGATATCACCGGAATCGTTTATCTCTTCTCTCTGAATTTGGGTAATGATGATAAAAAATTTGATATAGTTATATTTTATTTTTTTCCCGCTTACGAGATTCACATTAAATAGAGATATCTGGAAAATTTGGGGGGCGGGGAGGGTGGGATGGGCATAGCTAGCGGGATGCAATGTCCCCCGACCGTTCTTTTTTAGGGATTGGATTTGGTTGTTATTTTATAAGGTTGTGTTCGTGGTCGGTCGATTGGGGAAGGGAGACGATGATAATATTGAGGTTCCGAGGGATTGGACTACAGGGACAATTATCTTAGATTAAATTATTATTTTCTTCGTTAGGGCTCAAGTTCAAGTAGAGGAGGAGCTGCAGCCGGGTTAGGGGTTGGATGGGCAACGATAGACAGATGCCTCTCTTTGCTTGCATTCGCGGGATTTTTATATCTTATTATGGGTTTACTTTCTTTTCTTTATTGGCTGGAGAAATTTCTGCGGCCCGTTGGTACAAGGGATGAGCGATATAAAGACCGACGTCGAAAAAGCAGGATCTGTGGGGATACTCTCATAATTCTGCTACTTCTCGGGAGTAATAGGAGAAGAATTCTGAGATCTCCGCCCCTCATTTGGGGCGCTGGGCGATTGGATTGACGGAATAGAATTGGGAAGAATTGGGTCCAATCTCATCATTTATTTTACTTATATCATTTGCGTTCATACGTATCTTCTATTTGGGGGCTGATCGAAAGGGATTCTTCGCCCCTGCAACCTACTGACTAGAATAGTGACATTGGGAGCAGCATAGCGATTCTGATGCAGAGCTTATACTTCATGACTTTGTGGGTTTGGGTCCTTCCCCTGGGGGATATCATGAGACTGCTTATCCTTGGGATGGGCACGATCGCGTAGATCCGAGATTTGCACTTCCATTCTCACGTTTATAGAAGAGTGTCCGTTCTTGGAGATTCTTGGTTGAGTAGTGGGATAGGGAATGATGGGATTCTTTTACTCCTTGCTATCTATTGCTACCCAACTTTCCCTAACACACGGATTTTCTCAACTCTTGGCCAAGGGGGGGTCAGTATGGACATCGATGATAGCAATATAGGAGACGAGATGATGCCTCAGGCCCCCAACCAACCACCAATTAGCGCGGTAGACGCCGAATTGGCTGACCTGATTGGATGCGATATCCGGGATATTCAGGAAGACCGTTGCTTACAGGCTTCAGATGATCGGGGGGGGAATTCTGGTCAAGCACTCTTCTGTCCGATTCCGGGATGCGCGAGGAGTCGAGGTAGGGGACCCCCTTGGAAAAAGAGAGATGTACTACGGGCTCATATCGATTTGGATTGTATTGGGGAGTTGCAGGGCCAGCTGTCAGCCGAATGGTTGCAACAACAGCTGCTGCGGGGCTTGAGGGTTTGCGGCAGGACCATCAATACTCGTTTCGCCTCCGGCGTGCACGCCCATTACTGGCCACGTAATAGGAATGCTGATATCACCAACCTTCCTCAAATCGCGCAAGACAATCTCCCTTCCTTTCATGATATTTTCGCCATTCCCATCTTCATTAAAGATCATCTTCCTGCGGAATTGGGCCTCAGATACGTAGCGAATATGCTCGGTTGCTTGCGGCTGTCGTCTCGTCTAATCGTCGGGATGCTTGGGATGTTAGCCCGGCCGGGGAAGGCGGCGGCGATAGCGAGGGTAAATAGCGCGCGCGCAGGACTTGGATTGAGCTGCTTATATTCCCTAAAACGGTCTGTAGGCAGAATAAGCGGGGACAACGTCGCGACCAAGCCATAGCCTTCACTAGAAGCTTGCTTATTCGCTGGAAGATGGGGGAACGGCAGGGTCTGTGGGATGAAGCGGTCATGGCGATACGCATCCGCGGGAAAATCCGACAAAAGGACAACAATTTGGAAGAACGTGAAGCAGATATCTGTCGTTTGGTGTCTCGCGGTCGCGCCGGGCAAGCTGCTAAAGGCCTTGTATCACCGGGGCTGGCGGAATCAAATGACGTTATTAAACAACAATTTTTAGCTAAATTCCCCTCCAACCCGGATGAAATTGCGCCTCGCCCTATGCAGGCACAACCGCCCGCCCCCGAACTTCCCTTGGAGCTGGTATTCAAATCGTTGCAATCCTTTCCTATAGGATCTGGACCGGGGCCCGACGGCCTGCGAACTGATTTCTTGAAGGGAATAGTAGGGCAATCCTTGGATTTGGAGGTCTTGCATATCTTATGAAGACTCCTTCAAGTATTCGTAGATGCGGAGGTTCCTGATATATTACATCCTTGGTTAGCGGGAGGGAGCCTTATTGGAATTAGAAAGATTGATAAATCTGGACGCCCCATAGCTTTGGATCGTGATGCGCGTCCCATAGTTATGGGGCAGGTCTTTCATAAATTGACTTTTAAGTATATTTTTCGCCTGGATGCGGAGGATATTTGGACTCGTTTACTCCCTCATCAATTAGCCGTGGCTGTAGCGGGGGGCGCCGAGGCCCTCATCCACTCGGTTCGGGATTGGATTGCCCAGAATAAGGGAGGGGAAGATATGATCCTCTTATAAAAAGATATCAATAATGCCTTCAATATTATTCTGCCATCAATCTTTTTGGAGGAATATCGACAATATGCCCCAGCTTCTTCTCGCCTTGCTATATGGTATTATGGGTCAGCTTCCCATCTGGTTTATGAAGGATCAACGTATATTAGCGCAAGGAGGTAACAAGATTGCCCAATGATGATGGCTTTAATTTGTTTGGCCCGCAAGCGACACGCAGAGGAAGTCGCTGCTGAAACGGGAGTAGTCCTTCCATTCCGGTCGGAATATGCTGATGACGGCTTCTATGGAGGCCGGGCGCGGGATATCATCCGGCATTTCCGGGAGGAGATTAGATTGGTAGCTAAATTTGGCTTGAAGTACGACCTTGCCCAGTGCACGGTCTTTCTTTTGTCAGGCGATAGTTTCAGGGGGGACGTGTCGGGGATCCAAGAGCTTGGGGTTCAGATTAAGTCGGATTGTGAGATTCAAATGATGAAGACGCCGGTTTCAGGACAACAGATTTTCATGAATGATTTCTGTGACCTTAGGAAGGAAAAATTTAAATATTCTGTCCGAGCGGTAGAGGGCTTACAGAATAAACACGTGGCGTTCCATCTCGTATAACAATATATGGAATTTTTCCAACTTCAATATCTTGCCAGAATGGCTCCCCGCCAATTCTTGGGCCCCTTGCTGGAGTGGTATGACAAACGCTATCGTCAAGCTTTCGAAACGATAATTGAACGAACTCTTCCTGAGCAATCCTGGCGACAGACCAATCTTCCTCCCAAATTAGGGGGTTTGGGGCTTGTGCTCGAGAGTATCCCCATCGAGGATTCCACTTATTATCGAGCTGATATCTCTTATCTCGTGACCTCCCGCTTCATTCAAGAACTACGTCAATCCTTAGTTCCGCCAATTCCGCATCATTCACTTTTGAGATGGACAGTGGCGGCTCAGAGCTTACAAGCTTTATTCCCGACTTGGCAGGCTGATTTTCAGAACTCTCAGAGTCGGCTTCGATAAAAGGATCTAGTATCCCAAGCTGAAGCGGCGTCCCACAGGGATTTTCAGGGATTGTTATCTCCCCGGGATCAATTGTGCGTCCAATGTTATACGGGATGTTGGGCTGATGGCTGGGTTCGCTATATCCCAAGTCACGTTTTCGCCAATTGGCTTTCCAACGTTGTATTTTCAGATTCAATAGCCATGCGACTTGATTTGCCTTATTCGATACTGATGAGGCTTGCTTGCGATGCCCGCAAAATTCGGATCAATATGGTCATCATTGCTTAACCTATATCATGGTTGGCAAGACGGGATTATATAATTATATCCGTGATGAGGTTTGCCGTCTTTTATCGAGAGGGGGACTTGGATTGAAGATTGAATCCTTGGGACTTCTTCCCGATGAGCCCGATAGGAGACCTGCTGATCTTCTAACCATTCCCTCGGCGCTGTGCCGACAATCATCCTGGCATTTTCTTCTTCGGATTGTAATTGATTTTGCGATCGTCTCCCCATTTCGAATAGCTAGAGGGCGTAAGGCTACCGAAGACTATGCCACTATTAAGAGGCTCAACC